ATGTGGGGCTCAATTCCAGGACCCTGGGATCATGACCTGAGCCGAAGGCAGACGCTTAACGACTGAGCCACCCAGGCGCCCAAATGGGAGCTTCTTATGTATAAAATATTAAAACAATAAAACTGTCATTCTTCAAATAATGTCGTCCCTTGGCTCTTGCAAATTAAAATACAAAGTTATTACTCTATAAAATTTCTCCACAAACTATTTACTATCTGAACTAAATCACTGTTCTCTTTCCTGCTCTTGCCATTAGTCCATGTTGATTAAAGCTCTCACTTTACCATTTTCAAACACTTCATTCTGTCCTTTTAACAGAACTTCCTCTGGTTTACAATCTTATCCCCCCCACATCTTTACCCAACTGTCAAAACAGCATGTCAGATGCCTCCCTGCTTTTAGAATGCTGGACCTTCATTAGAGATTCTACTTTTCAAAGCTACACGGTCTCTTCTTTTGTTGACTTGAAATTGAGAGCAGCTTTTTTTTATGTAAATCTAATTGTGCATCATGATGTAATTACCCAAAGTTTTTGTGATGATTTAATGTCGGCCTCTGCTCTCAACCTAGAAAAGTCTACCAATAGTTGGTCAATTTTTCTTTCTAGCTGGCATGGGATTACTATATCAGGGAATACATATATCTGTGTACCCAAAGGAAGAAGTAAAACATTTTATGTATCATGGACTATCTGCTCAGAAAATAATAATTATAAAGTAAGTGCTTTTTCTGCTCTCTTGAAATAATTCCAACACAGTTTTGAGAAGAGTCAGAGAACCATTCCATGGCTTTCCATCTAAAAGTAAATACCATCTAAAACAGTGATGTAACCCAAGTGCTAACCATGAATTTCCAACCCCGATTGTATGTTTTTTTAAAGTAGTGAGCTTCCTAGAAAGTAATACATTTTCTCTTCCCGGAAGAGGTAGAAAGTACTTTAGTAGAGTTTCAAATTTTTAACAGTTCCTGTTTCCCACTACACTCTGAAAATTTGTGGAGAGGTTTATGAATACCCTCTGATTTTAGAACCTGTGGGCGAAGGCATCTGTTTTAGTTACAGAGTTTACTTCCATGCCCTTAATAGGAGATGGCAATATTCAATGGGGTGTTCATAGATTGATCATGAGATATGTCTTTTTCAATGAAAAGACATTGAGGAGATTGAAAGACTTTTCAAGAAAGAGGGTTAAAGCCAGATTTTATTTTTAATTGCTTAACATTAGGTAATAGCAACTCCCTTTTAAGTTGCCTCTTTTTAATTATCAAAATACCACTATTGCTTCAAATAAAATCATAGGTAGAAATAATAGATTAAACGATATCTCAGCCTACAATAGAAATCTCAAGATTCCTAGTTTATGCCATATAGTTATGAAGAAACTAAATAACCAGCAAAGACTAGAAGTAATAACAAAAAGAATGAAAGAGTTGTAGGGAAACAGAATTTATCCAGTTGAGTCTCCAAAGTCATCCCACCTCCTCCACAATAAAACAGATATTGGGTGGCAGTAAAATGTGTTTGGCTTGTTTAAAACCATATTGTATTATTTTTAATAATGTTCTGAGCAAAAACAGGGTAGTTAATGGTCTCAGGGGTGTAAGTGTATAAGTGTTTGGCATCTCCAAAGTGATGGATTGAGGACAATTTTTACTCTTCTGAGTTTGTGCACTATTTTATCAGAGGGTTTGAGAGTGGTGGAGGGAAGGAGGTCAGAATTATCCTCAGGAAAGATATGATATAGAACACATGGGAGATAATCTCATCAAATTATCTTTTGCTCTGATTTTTACTGTAAATTCATTATTTGTTTTCAAAATATGATATAAGAGATGCAAATATAACCCCAGACTTATTAAAGAACATACCAGAAAGTTTTTGGTTGGTGCTGTGAGAAAATCATTGTACAATCATATATGTGAGTTTTTTAAATATTTAGAATAGATAGGGATGCAGTGCCTTTGAAAAAATTACCTGGCTTAACTTCAGCTTGATTGTTGGAAACAGCAGTTACAGAGAACAGGCTGGAAAAATATGCAGATCTGCAGAGAGCGACAGTAAAGAACGTTGAGTAAAAGCTCCTGCTATACCTGTGTGGTTGCTTAGAATGGAATGCTGTGGAAGCTGGTTGCCATGGTAACCAATAATCTTTTTCCTGAATGGGAGAACAGGACAACCATGAGGAAAATGTTTTAAATGAGCTACCTTATTCTGTGATTCTTCTGGTGCTAGCTAGGAGAAAAACAACACCCAAGGTATTTAGGCTAGCCATGCTTATAAAAGGAAGTTGCCTTCTTCACAAATAGACAAGGCTGAGGCAGAAATTGGGGGCTATTTCAAAGGG